GAATCCAGATTCATTACAATGTTTTCTAAAGCTTTCATCTTTCTCTTTTTCAACGCTGCCCAATTCCTAATCCGATCGATCTCATGTGTTGATTTCGTCTACAACTCCAATTTCACAACCACCAACACATTTCTAGTCGGTGACTCCACCGTCACATCTCCGCCGTCGATCCTCACCCTCACCAACCCAACCCCTTACTCCATCGGGCGTGGTTACTACCCTTAAAGAATCTCCGTCGTCTCCTCCGCCTCGCCGCTCCCATTCGCCACATCATTCATTTTTTCCATGGTTTCACACAAAAACATGCCCTCTGGCAGCATCGCCTTTATCTTCTGCAATAGTGGCTTCCTCCCAGAATTCAGCGTCTATGTCAACCGCGACATCTGTGGCGTCACCATCCCCACATCCCCCTCTTACAATTCATCTGCAGTCGCCGGATTCTACGGAGGCAGAGACGGCCAGAGATTCACGCAGCTGAGGTTTAATAGTGGCGACAACTATCAGGCCTGGATTGAGTTTAATGGGTCAGTGATCAATGTCACCATGGCTATAGCTGGCTCGATGAAACCCACAAGACCACTCATAAGCATTCCTTTGAATCTCACTGGACTTTATCCTNATGNTATGTTCGTCGGACTCACTGGAGCTTCAGGACAACTTGTGCAAAGCCATAGGATCCTCTCATGGAGCTTTAGCAACTCCAATTTCTCCATTGGTCATGCTTTAATCACTAGGAATCTTCCTTCTTTTAAATTGCAAGATGACTCTGTCTTTAGGTCTAAAGGTTTCATTGCTGGGATCTGTGCTGGTGCCCTTGTGCTATTATTACTCTGTGTTATTGGGATCCTTCGTTTCTATCTTGTAAGGCGGCCGAGGATGGGGTTCGACGAAGATGTTGAAGAATGGGAAACAGAGTATTGGCCTCACAGAGTGCAATACAAAAGCGTCTTGGAAGCAACAAAAGGGTTTTCCGAAGAGAACATGATTGGAGACGGAGGGAATTCAAAGGTGTATAAAGGAGTGTTGGAAGGCAAACAAGTGGCGATTAAGAGAATCATGATAAGCCCTCGTGAGAGCGTGGCTAGGACGAATGAGTTCTTAGCTGAGGTCTCGAGCTTAGGGAGGTTAAGACACAGGAATATAGTGGGACTAAAAGGCTGGTGCAAGAAAAGAGGAGAGAGTTTAATATTGGTCTATGAGTATATGGAGAATGGAAGCGTAGATAAGCGGATATTTGATTGCAACGATATGTTGAATTGGGAGGAAAGAATGAGAGTGATAGGAGATGTTGCCTTAGGGTTGTTGTATTTACACGAAGGGTGGGAGTCAAAAGTGTTGCATAGAGATATAAAGTCAAGCAATGTGTTGCTTGATAAGGACATGAATGCAAAAGTAGGTGATTTCGGGCTGGCCAAGTTACAGAACACTAGAAAAGAGATGGTTAGCACGACACACATGGTTGGAACAGCAGGGTATATGGCACCTGATCTGGTTAAGACAGGGAGAGCATCAACACAGACCGATGTGTATAGCTTTGGAGTGTTTGTGTTGGAGGTAGTGAGTGGAAAGAGACCAATAGAGGAAGGAAGAGAAGGGATAGTGGAATGGATATGGGGACTAATGGATAAAGAAAAATTGTTGGATGGTTTAGACGAGAGGATAAAAGCGAAAGGAAAGTTCAAGACCGAGGAAGTAGAAATAGCCCTGAGAATAGGACTGTCGTGTGTACATCCTGATCCGAGAGTGCGTCCAACGATGAGACAAGTGGTGCAGATATTAGAACAAGTGAGATTAGTGGAAGACGATGGTGAAGGAGAAGGCATGGTTGTGTGGTTGTTGGAGAGAGTGAAGAGTTCTTTCTCGTTGGAAATTGGTGAGGGAAGACAACAGCATCCCACGTTCCAAGAGGTATGGAACTTGCCTTCTTATTCTATTTCCTTAGAGAGTTCTGATTCTATTTTTCAAGGAAGGTGAACAATTAGTGTGAGAGTTATTATTTGTTATTTAATTGTATTTCTAT